GTATCAAGGAAATGTTTGGACGATCAGTGGAAAAATATGGCGTAAAATATTCTAATTATATCGGCGATGGTGACAGCCAAACTTTTAAAGGCATTTTGGACTTGAATCCATATGATGACATCATAGTAAAGAAAAAAGAATGTGTTCTGCACGTTAAAAAACGTATGGGTACAAGATTACGCTCTGCAAGAAAGCAGCACAAAAGTATTGGAGGGAAAGGCTCCGGAAAACTTACAAATGAATTAATGGATAATTTAACAGCATATTATGGCCTTGCGATAACGCGCAATACAAATTCTTTAAAAGATATGGAAGAGGCAGTTTGGGCTACTTTTAATCATAAGTGCTCTACAAATAAAAATCCGCAGCACGTGTACTGTCCTGCCGGCACGGATAGCTGGTGTTCTTGGAGTCGCACTGAGGCTAAAGGAACATTAGAAAATTATAACCACGAAGAACCGCTTTGTAAGGCAGTACAAGATGCCATCAAACCAATTTATCAGGATTTATCATCCCCGGATTTACTAGAGCGTTGTTTAGGTGGAAACACCCAGAATAATAACGAGAGCTACAACGGTTTTTTATGGCACTTCGCGCCAAAACTTGTATTGTGGCGTAAAAACTATACAAATTGCTGATTTCTTAGCTCTAGTCATTTTTAATGAAGGCTACACAGGAATATTGACAATTTTTGAAAGGATGGGCATCGTGAATGGTCCCATTGCTTCGAATTTTGCAATGGAACGTGATGCGAAACGGATAAAGATCGCTGAGAAAAGGCACCATGCTGCGTCAAGGGAAAGGATAAATCGCAGAAAAGAAAATTTATCCCGAAATTCTTTTTATGAGGAAGAAGAAGGCGTAAGTTGAAACTTCAAATGCGTTTTTCTCGAAACATCATTTTTAAAACTGGCAGACCTGATTGCCAAAAAATCAGAAGTCCGATTCACTTCAAATTTGTCACATATATTCAGTAGATATCCCTTTATCGTTCGAACGAGAATTTTGCAAATATTTGTAAAATTAGACTTTTGCGGTCAACAAAACTATCACCTTTTTCTGCAAAAATCGAACAAATTTCTTTAAAACCATGCAATTTTTTAACTTTTCAACTTTTCTTTTTTATTCTAGTTCAGTCGATAACCACACGTTTACAAATTAAGAATCTTTTTGAATTTTTTGTTTCAGATAACTATAACTGCCGATATCAGGACTGCCATCCGGAAGAATATTTTTCAAGGCGCTTTCTTCATGTTGATCATATTCCACTACAAATGGCTATTTTTCATTATCAATAAACGATTTTTATTCTTAAAAGTTGATAGAATAAACCTAAAAATTTGTAAAAGGATAAGTGCAATACCTTTTTTTTCTTGATTCTTGAAAGATTACGTTTTTTTTTGGGGCCGTCACACTAGGAAGACCCCTTAACACGTTAAGCGCCACGCCGAATTTGCGTGCCTTTCCGTTCAGGCCACAGTTAGCCGTCAGGCGGGCTCTGCCGGGCCGCTCGCCGATAGGCGAGCCAGAGTATAAACAAATGTCGGGTAACGTAATCCGGCCGGGGCTTGCCTTCGTATGTTTACCTCTCCACTTGTAGATAAGATGCACTCGAGAGCCTGACATTTTCAAATCGCAATAAATACTTTGTATATACTTTGTTTATATCCGTATAGTCCCTTCTCCGTCGTAGTAGAGAAAAACCCGAAAAGCGAGGCCTAATAACGCCCAAACGCGTAAGAAATCCTCAGTTGCATAGATATCGTAACCCAGTTTAGTTCAGTCTCCAAGTCTTCTCGTACTTCTTGACCAGAAATTCAAAATTTTGTTGCCCTAAAAATCAAGATGTCATCAAGTGATACCTCAAGCGAACAAATTTTAGTGCCTACACTTCGTCATCGCCGTGTATTGCGCTCGTCCGACGATGAAAGTTTATCACAGAATGAGCGTGCGGATACGAATACAACGGGTGATCAAGAATGGTTCGATCCGCAAGGAAATCAACCTAATATAAGAGCTTTTAGGAGTGAATGTGGGGTTGACATATCTAATGTCACAGTACAAAATTGTTGCAATGTGGGAGACTTTTACGTTCTATTGGTCACGGAAGAAATACTTCAGGAAATAAGCGACCAAACAAATACATACGCAGTGCAAAAGCAATCAATAAGTACTTCGAGGCGTATAAATAAGTGGGTCCCTACAAATACAAATGAAATCAAGCGCTTATTTGGGCTCATCATATGGATGGGATTGGTAAAATATCCAGCGATATATTTATACTGGTCCAGGGATCCGCAATACTATCATCCATTCCCACACAAAATCATGAGCAGGAATCGATTTGAGATTCTTTTGAGGATGCTTCACTTTTGCAACAATGAAACAGCAGATACCACCAACCGCTTATACAAAATCCAGCCGATTATTGACGATTTGAACACAAATTTTAAAAAATATTACCATCCAACAGAAGTAATCTGTATTGATGAATCGATGATTCCATTTCGTGGACGTATTTTATTCCGACAATACATGAAGCAGAAGAAACACAAGTATGGCATAAAAATTTTTAAACTCAGCTGTGGCCTCGGTTACACATATAATTTCAGTGTTTACAGTGGCAAAATGTTCGACGAAGTGAACACGACGTCAACAAATATAGTACTGAATTTGTGTGAAAATATATTTCATAAAGGCCATACACTCTGTACTGACAATTGGTACACCAGTGTAAATTTGGCCAAACAACTCATACAGAAAAATACCCACTTGATTGGTACACTAAGGAGTAACCGCAAGAATAACCCAAAAGAAGTGGTATTCAAAAAACTAAAACGGGGGGAATGTGTCGCTCAAGAGAGTAAAGAAGGGATCACAGTTTTGAAGTGGAGAGAGAAGCGTGACGTTCTATTACTGTCGACTAAACATACATTAGAAATGAAGACCGTTCGAACAAAATCAAAAATCATTACTAAACCAACAATTGTCATAGATTATAATGCGGGAAAAAAATCTATTGACCTGTCTGACCAAATTGCTGCGTATAGTAACCCATTACGGAAATCCATGAAGTGGTATCGAAAATTGGGTTTTGAGTTATTATTGAACACCGCCGTTGTAAATTCCTTCTTCATACACCAAGAAACAACAGGCCAGAAGATGTCTATCACGATGTTTCGCAAAAACTTGATTGACACACTTGTGCAGGAGAAGGAGGAGGAACAAGTGAACACCCGTGTAAATCATCAGCATCATTTGAAAAAAAAGGAAGGCAGTGCGCACAAAATTAGAAAATACTGCACCAACTGCTATCAATATAATGCACGAATGTTAGGAACAAAGACAGCTAGAAATGTAACGCCAAAAGTAACAACCTTTTGTAATGAATGTACACAGCAACCTCACCTTTGCTTATCTTGTTTCAATAAATTACATTAATGTTTTTAAGTATTATATTCTTTTCCTTGAAGCATTGACCAAACTAAAACCGATATCGCATAATTTAAATGTTCAGTCTCACAAGTATGCAAAGACGGACACACGCGCCGCGATAGAAGAACGAAAAGTCTGCCGTCGGTCCGTAGGGACCGACGTGGCCTGAACGGAAAGTCTAGCGTCGGTCCCTAGGGACCGACGTGGCGCTTAACGTGTTAAGGAGCAGGAACAGCTAGCGCGCCGCGACGGCGTATGGGACGAGGAGGCCGATCTGGCGGCCCCGTCCAGATGCAGCAAACAGCAAACCTTGTGTTAGGAACAGTAACAGCCAATTCTCAGATTAGAGTAAGACGGACAGCGAGAGTATCAGGAGTTCACCGAAGAGTTGCAACGTTCTACTTCATTCTATTTTGCAGCTTTTAGGTAGTACCGCAGGCGTGTGCCAAGAAAAGCTAAAATACTTTTAGCGAGGACAAGGCGGTGAGGAAACGTAACGTCGGAGCCCAAACGGTTACCACCCGAACGCGCTCCTCGCGGGTTCAAACCGACTCCGGCGATCGCCTCCTGCGTCCCGTCAAGGACCCGCTCGCGTGATGGCCTAGACCAATCCGCGGCACGCGCCGCATTCCGAAAGGGCGCAGGAGAAGGGAGTCTCTCGAATACAAAACTCGCCGAGAGAGACGACCCTAATATTACACCGCAAGCAATTACGATCGCGTCACATTCGAAATCAGCTTGTCTTACTGTCCGTTTTCTCACCGTTCTGTTGTTCCGGAATAAAAGGAACTTCACGGGAAACTGTTAATCGATTGTAAAATTCAAAGGGAAAGTAAGCTTCATTACGTACAACCCACAAAAACCAACGAAGTGGGGTATTCGTATTTATGTTCTTGCGGATGCCAATATTGGTTACATACAAACCATTTTGCCATACTATGGCAGTTTCACGACTGAGAAATTAGTCAGACCTAATCTCCCAATAAGTACAAGAATAGTTTTACAGCTGTACCAAAACTTATTACAATCAAACCCTGAAGCTGCAGGATACCATATTTTCAGCGACCGTTATTTTACAAGTATTCCCTTGGCTGCTGCATTACTAAACATGAAATGCCACATAACTGGAACTATTCAAACTAATAGGAAATTTATTCCAAATGAAATAAAAAATCCAAAAATTGCGAAAAATGAAATCGTTGCCTACAGACGCAAAGACACATTGCTACTGGCTTGGAGAGACAAACGAATCGTGACAATGCTTAGCACTTGTGCTACCTCAATTACGAAAAACATCACTAAAAGAACACGCAGAGAAGGAACAATCAATATAGTGAAGCCAAATGTCGTGATAAATTACAATAAATATATGGGCGGGGTCGACAAAGCAGACCAGTACACAGGCTCATACTGTTTCATGAGAAAGTCTCAAAAATGGTGGCGAAAATTATTTTTTGGGGGATTGGACGTTTCAGTGATAAATTCCTATCTATTATATCAGGAACATCACAAGAAATACAATATAAAAAAGTTAAGTCATTTACAATTTGTACGTTACTTGGTAGATCAATTGATTGGAGATTTTCGAGATGCTGATCCCAAGCCTCCTTCGACTTCTGGAACAGCAGAAAGGCTCAACGGCCTTCTACATATTATTCCGCGAAATGAGACAGGAAGAAGTAAAGATTGTGTCGTATCCTCGAATCGGAAGGTAAAACATGGAAGGAGAGAGTCGATATACTTATTGTGCTACATACCCCCCTGCAAGTGGACACGCCTTGTCGTGGCGCAGGGGCCAAAGGTCAGGGCATTACCAGACCTTTCTAAGGTGTCCAACATTATTGGCGAGCCAATGTGGGTTGTTGAGGAGCGTGAGCAGTGTGTATCGGACTACAACATAGACGTAACACTGGCAACACCCAAAACGAATAAGAACTTACAGTACCGGACAAATGAATTCGGACAAAAATATTTTTGTTTCTCTACACTATGACATTGTTGGTGGGAGAAGGCCACTCTGTGTTTTGTTTTCGATTAGTTGAAAGCTAGCTCACGAGGAAGTTAGAGGTAGATATTTACTCTATATTACGTATAAGATAGGTTTTATTCGAATTTGCTTGGACAAAAGTATTCGGACGTTTCATTTATGCGTGTAATTTATTTTTTAATGCTGATATATTTGTTAAATTCTTTTCTTGTGCTTTTATTCTATTCTTACGAAGATGGTGCGAGGACAAAGTTTACCGTGGAATGATGAAACAAAGCGACTAGATTATATTCTCGTATGGGTTTAGATGACAACGAGAGATGGAAAAGGAGGAAGGCGTAGGCCAACCTCCTATTAGCTCTAGGCCTCAGGGACTGCGAGCGACAGCAGTCGTGAGTGGTACGGGGAAGGTGAACCCGAGGTACCCGAAACCCCATGTGTTCCAAGCAAATCGCGCGAAGCCCCACACCGTCAACTCTGACGTCGCAACAACCCACTGAAGTCATCTTCAAATGGTAGTGGTGTCAATGGTACGGGGGTCTTGCCTTAATCGGCTGGGCTGAGAGGATGAAAACCTCTCTAAAAAATCCTTAACCCTAAGCTGCGGTACGCGGTGATGGGGTACGTTCTTGTCGATGGCACCGGAACGTGGCTGGTGAGTGCATCAGTGCCAAGCGACCAAACTCCGGATTCCTGGCGTCCTCCGGTGTAAAAGCCCTGCCCGGGTAAGGGGTGGCTCTACCTGGGTCGACCTCATTTCCACCCAACTCGTGGGATTTTCATGGAATTTCAAAAACCAAAACCTAAGTCGAAGAGGAAGGAGAGGCGGAGGGAGGAAGGGGAGTCTTCGGACTCCGAAAGTCGAACGAGCAGACGAGACTCAGTCTCGTCTGCCAAAGAGTCGTCTTCGGCAACTACCAAGTTGCCGAAGAAACGACAAAGGGTTGCTGGGAGCGAAGCTGCTGAGCAGCCGAGTAAGCCAGGCAGCCCAAAGAACGCACTTGATGTGCTCAAAGTCCACAGGAAGGAATTGGAGACCTTCCTGATGGACGAGACAAATAATATAGAATTGAATTCGGTCAAGTTCATTCTGGGTAAGTGGTCGGAACTGGAATCCGGCCTGGCCCAGAATTATCTAGAGACGGAAATCCTGAAAACCAGGATGACCGCGCTCGAAGATAAAGTGAACGCGTTCACAAGCGCCAAACAAGTTCAGGCGAATGACAATACAAAGAGCTACGCCGCAATGGCTAGCAGATCAGCTGTCCCAGCTACAGGACCACTATTGAGTCAGGTGCGGGCGCAAGCCCCTGCGCCAAAGACTCCAAAGAGAGAGTATCGGAAGCCGCAGATTGTTATAATCAAGCCTGCGGATTCCGACTCAAAAGACACAAGCGAGAGCGTCAAGGAGAAGATCTTTGAGGCGCTCAAGAGCAAGAAAATGGACCTGCGAATAAAGCAGGTCCGAAAGATTAGAAACAACGGCGTCCTCATCGAAGCAGGCGGTGAGGACGACCTGAAAATTATAAAGGAGGCTAAGTTCTCCAAAGTGGGTCTCAAGTGCGAAACTCCAAAAAAATTGAATCCATGCATAATTATTTATGACGTGGATAATGATATGAAAGAGGAGGAAATTCGACAAGAAATATGGGGTAAGAACCTCAAGGATTCTACACTCGCTAGGGAAGTGCATGACGGCCAGATGCACTTCCGGTTTAGCACAAAGAATAAGACGCCGGGACTAGTGAACTGGGTAATAGAATTACCAGTCACAGTTCTAAAAGAACTAGAGAAGCGCAGGAAACTCTACATCGGGTGGCAGGTCCACTCGGTGAAAGAGTTCATGAACGTATCGAGATGCTTCAAGTGTCTCGGTTTTGGCCACTCAACAAAGAAATGCGAAGTGACGCAGCAAGTCTGCGAACACTGTGCGCAAACGGGGCACCTCCGGCAGGATTGCCCCGCCTCGAAAGCTGCGCCCAAGTGCATCTGTTGCACGCGGGCCAAACGCAGGAGCACAGACCACAGTGCTCGGGACAGGAACTGCCCCGAGTACCTGCGTCAGGTCGAGATCCTGCGAAGCAAGATTTCATATGCCATCTAATGGCGCTGAAAATCTTGCAAGTCAACGCACAAAAGTCGATAACCGTAGCAGCGGAACTTAAAAAGCTCGCCTTTGACCATCGAATCGATGCGATGCTCCTCCAGGAGCCTTACGCATTTAAAGGTGCAATAAGAGGGTATGCACCCCTGACAGCCAGAACAGTGACGGCCCCAGACCCGAACACAGGTCAGATAAGAGCTGCCATCGTTATTTACAATAACGACATGGTAGTAACGAAAGTAAATCAGCTGTGTAACGCCGATTTCGTCTGTGTGCATCTTGGCACCAGCGAAGGAGACGTCTACATGGTTTCGATTTACTGTCAATGCAAAGAGAAGATCGAGGGGTATATTCAACAAATGACAGAGTCACTGGACTGCTCGAAGGATAATATAATAATCGGAGGCGACTTGAATGCCAAGTCTGTCCTCTGGTTTAATCGAACGACCGATGCAAAGGGTGAACTCCTGGAGGAATTCATCCTAAACAAAGGCTTAGCTATCTTGAATCAGCCGAACAACCCCTACACCTTCTGGACGGTGAACGGCAGGTCAAACATAGACGTAACACTGGCAACACCCAAAACGAATAAGAACATAGAAGCATGGCAGGTAAAACCAAACTGGTGCAGCAGCGATCACCGCTGCATTCAAATAATATACAAAAATAAATCGGGGGGCCAGTACCCGATCAGGAAGACAACAATAACAAAGAGATATAACATCAGAAGTGCAAATTGGGACAAATTCGAAACCGAATTGTCCCAAATGAAGGATATGACGCTAAGGTCCTTGAGATACGATGCACCTGAAGCAGCGGTGGAAACGTTCAACACCACTGTTGCAAAAATCTGTGATGCTTCTATGAAAAGGAAAGCACTAACAACGAGATCGGTTCCCTGGTGGAATGCAGAAA